TCATCCCCAAAACTGCAGCTTAAGGAGTAGAAGCAGAGGTCAAAATTTGATCAGGCGTTTCTTAGCTTCCATGCAAGTTGTCATTTGGGGTGGTGGGGGCTGTGCTGCATACTGTCAAATCCTGGGCAGCATTCATAGTCTCTGATCATTCGATGCCCATTGCACATCACCCCCGTCGTGACAAGTGAAAGTGTCACCATTTATTGTCAAATGTGAGAACCAGTGAATTTTAACTCTTTGCGATGAGATCTCCCTGGCCTATTTGTAGGACCCATTTGAGTAGTGGAGGGGAGGAAGCTGCATTCAGTGCTCAAAATGAATTCATAGGCAACAGAGAGTTGCAAATAAGAATTGAAAAGGGGCTGGGCACGGTGGCTCACACCTGTAATCATAGCGCTCTGGGAGGCCGAGGCAGGAGGATTGTTTGACCTCAGGAGTTCAAGACCAGCCTGAGGAAGAGCAAGACCCCGTCTCTACTAAAATTAGCTGGGCATGGTGGCACATGCTGACTGAGGCAGGAGGATTGCTTGAGCCCAGGAGTGTGAGGTTGCAGTGAGCTATGATGATGCCACTGCACTCTACCCAGGGTGATAGAGTTAGACACTGTCTCAAAAAAAAAAAAGAGAGGGAGAATTGAAAAGGTGTCTTACACAGCTACATCCTGTAATTTTCCTCCAGTACCTAAAGGTCCATCTGCACAGCAGGAAGCTAGAATAGAACATGACTTTCCTTTCTTGATTTCTTCGACAAATGTCTGTATAGTCTACAACGTGCCAGGCACTATTCTAAATGCTTCAAAGCAGCATCTCCTTTGATCCTTGTCATAATCCTATGAGGTGTAGGTACTATTGTTGCCCCACTTCACAGATGAGAAAACCACAGCACAGTAACATTAAGTAAGAGCCTAGTGATCAGCAAACCAGAATCCATCTGATTCCATAGCGTGGCCTCTTACTCAGTAGGGTGAGTGTGTTCCATGCTGGGGGAAAAGGAATTGAGTTTGGACTCAGATTCACCTGGTCTCATGTCCTGGCTTTGTCACCTCCTAGCTGATGGACAATTTGCCTGATGTCTGTGAGCTTCAGCCTAGTTATGAACAAAATAGGACAAGGATTCCTCCATCAAAGGACAGCAGTGAGGACTATACCAGCCCTGAGTTTGGTGCCCAGGAAATGTTCTGGGACTGTTCATTACCTCTCTCGCCTACTGTTTTAGAAGTGAAGTAGCCACGAAGTGTAAACAGCAGTGGTGGAAGGGACGATTGTCAACCATGAGGACTGGCTCCTAAGTCCAAGCCACCACTCCCTCCCTTACCAAGATAACCACAGTAGCCTCCTGACTATTCTCCCTGCTTCTCCTCTTACATATCACACATGCTACATTCCAACGTCATGTTAGATACTCAATAAAGGCTGGATGAATTACTATGAACAATGAACTCCTTGGAGCCTCCTGAAATGGCACATGAGCTATTTCATATTTGCATGACTTTGCCCTTTCTGTTTCGTTGCCAGGGATATTCCCCGTAATTTTGTTAACCTAATTTCTGCACATCTCTTAAGACTCAGCTCAAGTATCTCTTCCTCCAGGAAGCCTTCCATGACCACCCAGGCAAGTCTAAGTGTCCCTCATCTGCATCCCACAGGATGCCCTGCCTGCTTGTGTCCTTGTGTCTACCACGGTACATTGAAAGCATCTGTTACTCTGTCTCTCCCTACTACTCTGTAAATTCTTTAATCATGAAAACTAAATATATTTTTTATGGAAAATAGTAGCACTTTTTTTGAGACACAGACTCACTCTGTTGCCTGGGCTAGTATGCAATGGTGCCATCATAGCTTCCCTGCAACCTGAAACTCCTAGGCTTGAGCAATCCTCCTGCTTCAACCTCCCGAGTAGCTGGGACTACAGGTGTGCACTGAGGCACTCAGCTAGTTTTTCTATTTTTGATAGAGACGTGGGTCTTGCTGTTACTCAGGCTGGTCTCGAACTCCTGGCTGGCATCAAGTGATCCTCCCCCCTCAGCCTCCCAAAGTGCTAAGATTACAGGCTTTGGCCCCCATGCCCAGCCTACATTTTAAAGCTTTATTTATTTTCACCTGGGAATCAGGAGGAAGGGAGGCCAGGATGGCATTGAACAGCTAAAGAGAAAGTTGAATAAATTAGAGGAAGACCCTGAAGACAAACTTCCTGTCCTCACAGTTCCATCCAGAGTCCACGATTTTGGACTTCACTGGTGACTCTCAGGAGCCTGAAGTTCCAAGGACTTTATTAAGTGAAGAAAAGCGTGTGAATCTCCAATACAGAAATAAGCATCTGAGGACTCACACTCGCACTATTATGAAGTGGTGAATACAGTCGTGGAAGCCAACAGACATGGATCCAAATGCTGACCTCACTCTCCATCTTGGCAGACAATCTCTCAGCCTCAATTTTCTCATCTGTAAAATGGGGGTAATATTGCGCTTACCTGGAATGGTTACTGGGGGGAACAAATAAGTGAATGTATGTAACATGCTCAGCACAATGTCTGACGCACAGTAGGACCCAATGAATGTCTCCATCATCATCTTCAAACATGGCCTCCGCTCCATGTGTGCCTCCCCGTGTGTCTGCCACGGGCAGGAAGGTGTAGAATCCCTTGAATCGATGTGAAAGCGACGGCCAGCGATGACACACGTAAGAGACGAACTGAAAGGACGATAAACACGAGAGGGAAATAGCCCCGGGGACGTCAAAGAGGGACCCGCAGACGCGCAGAGGTTGCTATTGCGTGACTGCTCCCCACTGCACCGTCCCTGCCAACGCCAGCTGCCGAGACAAGCCACCTGCTAGGCGTCGTCAGGAGAGAAATGCCACATCACGGTTCCAGGATTTGAGCATAAAATACTACAGATGCAAAGGAAAAACATATGGTACAACGGGGGGGGGAAATGGTTTGAATGTCTCCAAGAAGCAAGGCGAATCAGGTGAAGGAAAGGCAGCCGCCACCACCAAGCGATTTCCGAAAGAGCGATCTCCCCTAAATGAAGAAACGCCAAATACACGCCACCCAGGGTGTCCGGAGCCCCCCGGGAAAGACCCCACACAGAAAGCGAGCTTCCCCACGCCCAGCATCCGTCCCCGGGTCGGGGCTGCCGAGCACACCGCACCTACCCACGCTGGAGGCTGGAGACGTGTTTGAGGAAAAAAGCCATTATTGGGTGAAGTCAATACCCTGTGTTGGTTTCCCCTCTCCACACGCAATCTCCTCTGGGTGGGCATGAAGCAGTCGCCACAAGAGATAACAGCCCGTCTGAGCCATGTCTTTTTGCTTTCTGTATTTAGATGCTTTGACATCTGGGGTCCTGCTGGCCTGAGAAACCGTCCCTCCCGGGGTGAGTCAATTCCTAGAGATAGCCCGCAACTCTCTGGGAGTGCACTTCTCATTTACAAACCGACCAACCCAGAGCTCCGTCTTTATGCCCTGCCCTCAGCAACTTGATCAACTGTAGTATCTGGTCTGATCAGTTCAATGTCCCCCTGCTTTAACCACCCCAGGGCCAGCTACCAGACAACTAGAGACCGCCCCTACACTGCAGACCCCATGGGAATTATTCAAGCTGGCCGATTCTAAACCCGGTCACCCCGCCTTGCCCATCTTTTCCCACCCAAACTACAAATAAGGCTCTTGCCCAGGTCTTCCCCTCGTTCCCTCGGGCCCCCAAACAAGCCTGGCGCTTCCCCATGTGCCTCCCCTGGCGTAGTGGGACCCCTTCTCCTGGGGTCTGTGAGTGCAAGGAGCTACCTTTCCAAGGGCATTCATCTCCTGATCGGTTGACCTTGCCATGCCTAAACAATAATCAAACCTATATTTTAAAATACAGCCTAAGCCACCAGTCAATGAGATCTTTAGACTCAGAGTTTCCTCCCACGCAAGAGAAGCCACCAGGTGTGACCAGCTGAGACGAGGTAGATTCCCAAAACATTAGTCCGTTGACACTGACAATGACCTTGGGGAATTCTCTTCTTACAACCCAAGTATATCCTCTTGAGGTCTTCGTCCCCTCAACATCTCCATCCCCTCTTGTGAAGAGTCCTTTGAGGAGGTGACATTTGTGCAGAGATGTGAAATGGAATACACACAGGGGTCAGCCGAGTGTGCATCTGCATGCAAAGCATCTCAGGCAAGGACAGCAGGTGCACGTGTCCTGAGATGACAACGTGAGCATGCTTGTCCCACTATAAAAGCAGCCACCTAGAATGATGCTTTCGAGGTTTGTTAGGCTAAGTGAAAGAAGCTAGACACAAAAGGTCACATTTTGTATGATTCCATTTATAGGAAGCTTCCGGAATAGGTAAATCCACTGGCAGGGGTGCAGGGGGGGAGGCACTGACAGGTATGAGGGTACATGCTAAATGGGCACGGGGTTTCCTTTTGGGCTGATGAAAAATGTCTTAGAACTAGATCGAGGTGGTGGTTACACAGCATTGTGAATATACCAAATGCCACTGAACTGTTCACCTTAAAGTAATTAATGAATTTTACTTCAATTTTTAGAAAAGGTCAAAAAAAGAAGTCATTTGCCCTGTATTTCCTGACATCCTCTCCTAATCAGACTCCTCACCCTTTTGGGGATATGTCTTTTCCTCACCTCGTTCCTATATTTTTTTTCATTTGTGTTCCCATCCCATTGCCTCTCCTGGACACGTGTTGGGTGAATAACTTTCACAAGTACCGATTCACCCAAAAGATGAGAGCAAAAGACTCAGTTGCCAGGCCGTCCTCGCAGAACCAGGATTCAAGGAGAAACAAGGTCCCGGTGGGGGAGTGGACACGTCACAGAATGCAGCAGCCCTCACTGGAAACACAGCAGAGGCATCATCTCATCCATCCCTGTTTCCGTGCCTCCCTCTGCCCTCCCCCCAAGGAAAAGATGATTAATAGACCACTTCATGCCCACTTCTCTGCTTCTTCCCAGACTTGTCTCCCCCCGGCCTCGTATCGGGACCTTTGATTGGAACCGTCTCCTTCCAGTTTGAATTTTTAACAGAACATTTTTCATATCAATCCCCTGCTCTCAGATATTATACAACTCCCCACCACTAACATAATAAAGTTAAAATTCCAACTGGAGATGCCATTGCAAGATGATGCCAGCCCATCCTTCTGGCTCCAGCCCCATTCCTAATGCACCGTCCTAATGCACCATCCTAATGCATTCCTAAGGCACCGTCTTCCACATTCTGTCAAGTTTTCGTTTTTAGGGCTGTAACATTAATACCTATCCATTCTCCCCTTTCCTGACTATCAAAATCTGTCTTGGCCGGGCGCAGTGGCTCACGCCTGTAATGCTGACACTCAGGGAGGCCAGGGGAGGTGGATTGCTTGACCTAAGGAGGTAGAGACCAGCCTGAGCCAGAGCAAGACCTGGTCTCTATTAAAAATAAAAAAAAGGCCGGGCGCTGTGGCTCACGCCTGTAATCCTAGCTCTTAGGAGGCCGAGGCGGGCGGATTGCTCAAGGTCAGGAGTTCAAAACCAGCCTGAGCAAGAGCGAGACCCCGTCTCTACTATAAATAGAAAGAAATTAATTGGCCAACTGATATATATATAAAAAATTAGCCGGGCATGGTGGCGCATGCCTGTAGTCCCAGCTACTCGGGAGGCTGAGGCAGAAGGATCACTCAAGCCCAGGAGTTTGAGGTTGCTGTGAGCTAGGCTGATGCCACGGCACTCACTCTAGCCTGGACAACAAAGTGAGACTCTGTCTCAAAAAAAAAAAATAAAAAATAAAAAAATAAAAAAAAAATTAGCCAGGCATGGTCGCATGTGCCTGTAGTCCGAGCTACTCGGGCTTGAGACAGAAGGATCACTTGAGCCCAGGAGTTTGAGGTTGCTGTGAGCTACAAACGATGAGGCCACTGCACTGTAGCCTGGGTGACAGAGTGAGGCACTATCTATAAAAAAATAAAAATAAAAAAATCCTATCCTTCCCAGCTCACTCTTGTCACCAATTTGGGGACATCTTAGCTCACTCTCCCACTCAAAGTGAACCTCCCTCCTCTATTTTCAGCAGCATTGGTGGGACTGATGTGTCCGTGGTACAGGGTAAGAAGATCTCAGGCAGACGGGGAATGGCTTGAGGATGGAGACCTTGCCTTGGTTAGCTCTCTGTCCTCAGCAAACACAACGCCTGGCACATGTGCACCAGGACATTGGCGTGTGGCAATAAATTGGACTGAAAGTTCTCAAGGACGCCAAAAGGATTTTTAGCAAAGTGTCCTGGACTTCCTAAGCCTCCTTGCTCCCACAAAAATGAGATCTGCAACAGAGACCTTGGGAACTAATTAAGTATTAGGACATTTCCATGCACTTCGTTAGCACTCCCACGGAATGGCACCATCAGCCCGTGGTCTCCTCTCCTAACTCATTAATATTTGACTTCTCTGGCTTTCAGATGTCTTGAATATTTTAATTACAGAATCTTATTACATGCTCAGGGATTTTTTTAAAAGAAACAGACATCAATTTCATAAAAGTTTTATGAATCTGACTCAATATGTGACTATATTTCAATCCGATAAGTGTTCATCATAATTAAAATGTATGGCACCCTCATTTGATGCCAAGCGTTATCTCATTTAATCCCGACGGCCGTCTTAATGCAGTTCAGAGAAGTCAAGCATTTGCCCAAGGTCACACGGAGTCTGACTCAACCAACACGCTTTGCCAGTTTCCCAAAGTTTCCCAGTCTAATTGATTTTCATTAGTATCTAATGCTTATGGAACCTTTATACCGTACAAGGCAATATGCTTATTCCCAGAAATGCCAGAAAATCAGTGCTACTCCCTTTCCCCAGAGCAGCTTCCAGCCAACGAATAAGGGTAAGGATGATGGATAAAACACCCCGGCTTGGATGGAATAATTCAAAGGCTGCGTTCACACTGGTTTCCAGAGTTGTCCAGTGGAAGTAACCTCCAGTGACCCACTTGGATAACATACTCTTGACGGGCTTTCTTTCCTCCCCAAATCACACCCTCACTCTCCAATGCTGTTTCATGGGATCACCGCCCAAATAAAGTACTTGATTTGAGCACAGTCCTTGTCTCAAGGTTTGAGACAAGTGGAACCGAAACCACAACACTGCTTGACATCAAGGTCAGCAAACTTTTTCTGCAAAGGGCCAGACAGGAAATACTTCTGGCTTTGCGATCCGGACCGTCTCTGTCTTAACCACTCGGCTCTGCGGTCCTAGCGTAAAAGCAGCCCTAGACGACATGCAAAGGAATGGGCGTGGCTGTGCCCCTGTAAAGTTTCACTGATGGACGCTGAAATTTGAGTTTCGTATAATTTTCACATGACATGAAATATTGTTTTTCTTTTGATTTTTTTTCTCAGCCATTTAAAAACATAAAATTTGTTGTTAGCTTCAAGCCATAATTTGCCAACCGCTGCTCTACAATCTTCACTTAGTCTTCCTGTTAGCTGTGGGTGGTAAGAATCATCATTGTCCCCATGTTCCAGGTGAGGACAACTGAAGTCTGGAAAGGTTAAGTGGCTTTGAGATGACACATGCCCAAGTCCCGACCAATGACAGTGGTCAACAAGGGCTGGGAGGGGTCCTCCCGAATACCCCTTCGAAAGCTCTCAATACCTCACCTCTTTGGAGAATGAAAGGATGGGTTTTGTTCCTGAGTCAGTACCTTCCTTCCTCTCTGCACATCTGGGCTCAGCCTGCTGCCAGAGCGGCGTGGCGACTCAGTGTTCGGTGGTGGTGACAGCTTCATCCAGATGCCAGCCGAAAACGGCTCACTTGGTGCACACCTTGGGAACAGCTGCTGCTCTTTTCTTTGCTGAGAAACCACACGACATCACAGCAGGACGGAAGAGCTCGAGAAAGAGCCGAGGGACACCTGAGCGGCACTTTGGAGCCAGGATCGCTGGAGCGAGGCTCGATTCACCTGCTCTTCTGTTGGCTTGAGGCCAACCTGCATTTCTCCACGGCGTTTTTGTGCATACACAGATACACCTGTAAGTGTGATTAAGAAGACAGTACATTGCACAACTGGGACCGAACAGAATTTGGCTTAGACAAACTCGAAGCTTGAAGCACGTGAGCCAAAGTCCCATCCTTAGTCAACGTAGCACAACAGAAGCTCTGCCCCATGGTACCCAGTCTGCACGATGACCCAGTGGAGTGACGCTAGGCAGAACTTACATGTCCTTACTGTGTGCCATAGTGCCTACTAGTCTAAGACTTACAATAGCTCACTTAATCCCCACAGCAATGCTATGAGGTAGGTCCTATTGAAAACCCATTTTACAGATGAGGAATCTTGATCTGTAATTCAAGTAATTCACCCAATGTCACAAAGCCAGTGAGAGGCACAGAGGGTTTCGAGCCCAGGCAGACTGATTCTGGAGCCTATGCGCTAAACCAGAGGTTGACAAACATTTTCTATAAAGGGCCAGATAGCAAATATTTTGGGCTTTGCAAGCTACAGGTGAGTCTCCTTCAAAAATTCTTCTTTTTCTTCTTTTTTCTTAATAACCCTTTGAAAATGTGGAAACCATTCTTAGCTCAAGGACTGTTCAAAAACAACCTTCTCTAAACCATTATTCTATGAAGGTGCTGTGGTCTGAATGTGTTGCCCCCAAAATTTGTATGTTGAAACCTAAATGCCAAGGTGACGGTCATGGTATATAATCCTTTTTATGTATTGCTAGATTTGGTTTGCTATTATTTTGATGAGGATTTTTACATCTAGGGTTTTCTTTTCTTATGATACCTGTCTAGTTTATGTAGCCTGGTAATACTAGCCTCATAGAATGAGTTGAGACGTGCCCACCTCTTTTATATATACATACACCTTTTTAAATAGCTGGTAGACCTTTTCATATTGGTACAGCTGTAGCATAATGCTACCACAAGCAAAATCATTTACACTGGGCTTTGGGTAAAATTTCTGTACCTTATTGTTCTCTTTTCCTATAAATCATTCCAATTATTCAGAATAAAATTTAGAACATCTAAACCCCTATTTCCCATGATTAATGAAAATGGTTGAAGATCAACTTGAGAAAAAGACATGCTAAGTCTTGCAGTGTGTTTTTATCATATCCTATATAGTGTATACATCAAGACAGGTTGCTCATGTAGCAGTGATTTTGTTTCTTGGCTTCAGTCCTATTTTAGGTAGGAGGAAATCATCATCCTGATGCCCATGTAGAGAAAACTTTGGTCCTAGCAGCTAATTAGTGACTTCTGTTAAATACTGAGAGAAAGCTGGTTGAGACATGAGACCTCCATATCAAAGGCAGGCCTAGCTCAGTAGCTCGTCTGAAGAGCTACACACCTAGCAAGGTGTGGGGAGATCCGGCTGGGAGGGTTTGCTGGGGAAGCCTCATGTCTGAAACTTCTCATCTTTTTCCTTGTCCTGGTCAGATTCTCCAGAGAAGACTTCCAGCCTTCAGACTTTTTTTTTTTTTAGATGTCAGGTTTCTTGAGATGAGGAAAAGAAGGCTAAGGTCTCAGTAGTCTATAATTAAATTTCTCTCTTTTAAAGCAGAAAACCCAGGCCCTCAACTCTGCCTCACATCTGGGTCCAGAGTGCCTTTATTTTACCACCTTCTCGTCCTTCTTAAACAAGCCCCCCCATATCACCACTTCCATAGGTACCTGGTGTCACCAATTCCCCACCTTCCAGATTTGCCCAGCTGGAGTCAGGAGACCGCACAAGGTCACACTGAAACACGGATGCTCCTACTACAACCCATATTTGATGGGGGATGGCTCATAGCAAAAGGTACTGAGTGGCCTCCTGGCAGTGGACAATGCCCACAGAGGTCCCCACAATAAGACTAACAGGACTAGAGCCAGACTGCTGCCATTCAAATATGATTCTACTGACCTACATGTTATTTAACAGTACCTACTTCATGGGGTACCATTATTATCCTTACGAAGATTAAATGGGTTTATATAATCATGCATCACTCAACAAGGGGGATACGTTCTAAGAAATGCACTGTTAGGCGATTGCACGGTTGTGGGAACACCACAGAGCGCACTTGCACAAGCCTAGATGGGGTGTAGCCTACTACACACCTAGGCTACGCGGTGGAGCCCATTGCTCCTTGGCTACAAACCTGTACAGCATGCACAGGCATCTACCGGACTCAGAGGGCCATGGTAACACCTTGGTAACCATTTATATAAGTATTTATATATTTAAACATAGAAAAGATACAGTAAAAATAAAGCATAAAAGATTTTTAAAATGGTACACCTGTGTAGGGCATTGACCCTGAATGGAGCTTGCAGGACTGGAAGTTGCTCTGGGTGAGTCAGTGAGTGGTGAGTGAATGTGAAGGCCTAGGGCATTCCTGTACACTACTGTGCACACTATTGTATACACTACTGTACACAGTGCACCTGGATAGACACTATGCACCTAGGCTAAATTGATTTTTTGAAATTTTCTTTCTTCCATAATAAATTAACCTTAGCTTACTGTAACTTTTTTACTTTATAAGCTTTTTAATTTTTTTAAGTTTTTGATTCTTTTGTAATAATGCTGAGCTTAAAACACAAAAACAGTGTATATAAAAATATTTCTTTCTTTATATCCCTATTGTATAAGCTTTTTTTCTGTTTTAAAATTTTTTATTTTTATTTTTAAATCTGTTTTGTTAAAAACTAAGACACACACACACACACACATACACCCCTAGTCCTAGGCCCACACGGGGTCAGGATCATCGACATAACTGTCTTCCACCTCCACGCCTTGTCCCGCCGGAAGGTCTTCGGGGTCAGTAACAAGCACGGAGCCGTCACCTCCTGTGATGACAGTGCCTTCCTCTGCAATACCTCCTGAAGGACGTGCCTGACGCTGTTTCACAGTGTCTTTCACAGCGTCTTCACTATACTTTTTCATATATAAATAAAAGTAGTGCACTCTAATTAACAATAAAAAGTAGAGTATAGTAAATACTAGGCAGTAGGAATTCTTCAGCTTCAGACTGATAATATTAATACCACAGGACCACTGTTGTGCATGCAGCCCATCAGTCACCAAAACGTCATTATGCACAGACTATGTTTACAAAGTGCTTAGAGCAATGCCTGCCGTAGAGTGAGGACTTTCTTCTCAGTGGGGGGACAAATGCACACGTACATTCCCGTGCCAGGCAGTCGGTCGGGGTGCTCCTCCACGGCGGGGCAACCTGTATGAGTTGTGTACAAATGCACACCAAGTAAATATGTATAAGAGCCCACTAAAGGATATGCACGTGTATATAAAGCATGTCAATAAAGCTGTAGGAAGGAAAAGACTGAAACGGTGACTAGCATCAGGAAATAACATTGCATTCCTTCAGAGCCAGGCCAAAGGGGATTGGAGTATTAATCGAGAATAAAAATAATCAGTTACCATAAATGTTTATGTCCTCCCTGGTGCCATTAATGCTTATACACCATATGTTTGCTTTAAGAGAGAAACTAAAGTAAACAGGGCTAACCAACTAATAGAAAGGCTTTTTGACAGACGGATATTTCTCTGAGCTCCAAGAAGCGTTTCAGAGGCTAATAAATGTCCACCTAAGTGCCCGTGGATATGGCAGACTCTGTTATTTGCCCTATGCATTACTCTTCCCTTTCTCTGTGATAAAAGAACCTGATTCAGGTCAGGCTGTATCCAGCCTCAAGCAATGGGTCATGAATGGTTTAAGCCAATCACAACAATCCAAATTCTAAA